CTCTCTCTCTCGTCGTTGTCTTCCTTGCAGGTACGTGGCACCTCCTTCTGCAGTGCAGCTATGGAGGACTCTTCTTCATCGACGCACTTCTGCTATGGCGCGTGGAATACGGGGAGCCAGCTCCGATACCAATGCAATCAGACTCGTGTCCTTGTTCACTTCACATACATGCAAACAAATGTCAATCCCTGTTGGCGCTGTGCGCCCACACAAAGCTCACAGATATTCAAGTCGAGAACACAGTTCGGATACAAGCTCCCTTCCAACTGGCTATGGCGCCTGGGCGCTCACACATCCTCTGTCTGACACTGTGTTCACACAACTGTTCACACACACTCGTCTTTGGATCTCCCTGGATATCCCACGCACATAACTCCGTATCATACACACACTCTGAAATCTATCTCTGGCTACAGCGGCTATGGCCGCCTAACCTCTAATGGATGTGGATACTCTATCTCCCTTCAGCCCACTTCAACCTCGGGCATCTGCAGACCACCTCGCACAAGACGCTATGGCAGCGCTTCCGCATGGCTCACGCAGGAATGAATCCATGGCTGGACGCTGCCTCTTGATTTATACTTCTGTAAGTCGCTGTTCTGCCCTTTTCCACCAGGCCCATGGTGCATACAGTCCCTCATGGTACTTGCTGACTGTACAAAGTGAGACTGGGACTGGGTACCGCTGACTGAGCGAAGTTGGACTCACCACTTGCCCACTTGCCTCTGGTGTCTCGACTGCTGTGAGTAACGTGAGAAAAACTCGAAAGGCCACTTCCGGACCTTCCGGAAGCCTGTGGACTTGGCCTTTTGGGACTGTAGCAGCTACAACCTTGACCTTTCAGGACTGTAGCAGCTACCACCTTGACCTTTCAGAATTGCTACAGCTACGGCCTCTACACAACTATTACCCCTACTCGACAGACCTACAGATCGAACCCCTACAGCTACACAAACCTACGACAGGCAACAGTCAACTACCAAAACACAGCTCACGGGTTCAAACCAACAGGGTGGACTCTATACTGTACACGGGTGCAGGTAAGGTCTAGGGATTGAGCCCTGGGATCTGCATCTGCTACTGTTAAGGTGAAAACAGTTTCACCACGGCCGACCCCTATAAATATGACACCCGGTCTGACACCATGGCCGTTGGTACTATTGGATGAGCAAAATCGAACGAGTCTACCGCTAGAACATGGAAATATACATATATATATATATATATATATCTATATCTATATATATCTATATATATATATATATATATATAGGTTAATGTGTGTGCGCGTGTGTGTGTTGTCATATTCCCTATACACTCAAAAAAAGCATGACTGTACCAGACTGTTTCGTCGGACTTTCACCGACTCATCAGGAGGTTGAACCCCGACAGTCTGCCAAGGATGCATTTGACTGATGGATAAGGACTCACCACATCGCCCAGAGTTGGCGATACCCTTGAGAAAAGTGGTCAACTTTACTCACACCAACCTTGCATGTGTGTGTGTGTGTGTGTGTGAGAGAGAGAGAAAGAGAGAGAACAGTTGAGGGCCAGATCCCACTGGCAAAGAGGATTGGAAGAAGTGTCTGAGTCTGGACTGTTCCATGCAGAGGTGCAGAAAAGTAGATGACTCAAAAAATTTTGCACCTGTCCACAAACACGTCCACATTCAGACACTTACTACAATCCTCTTTGCATGTGGGATCTGGCCCTAAGTCTCCAACCTCGCGGCTGGCCTCACTCTACTTCCAACCATAGGATGAGCAAAATCGAATTGATCTTCCGCTAGGACATTGAACTATACACTGCCTGGTTGAATCTGCCGGACACCTGCCATACAACACTCTCTGCAATAGACAGCGCGCCGTGAAACAAACCCGCAGCGAAAAATGACCCCATTCATAAAGTCGCGCCAACACCAACTGTACCAAGCGCCCCCGGAAAAAAAAATGTACGACAGAGCGGGCCCGCCCGCCCAAGTGGCAGGCAAAAATGTGCAAAAGCGGGCCCTCCACTATTCGGAAAGCGACCCTGCCCCTCCCTGACTGGAACCGCGCCTATTGTGAGATTTTTCACCAGCTGTCCCGAGAAACCACTCCCCGGGACTTCTTGTCCTTTGGCTGGGAGCATCTTCCCAGGACCGCTTCTCCCTTTAAGTATTATAGGTAGAATATCAAACGTGAGCAAGGGATAAACTGGGGCTGTTACCCAGCTTCTTTTTTTGTTTTTTTGTTTTCCCAACGAGAACAACCCGAGTTAACGCTAGGGGTGCAGGCAGGAGCAGGCACCACTAGCACTCCCGGGGAGGCTCCATCTATCCGTGGGGACCAGCACCTGCTGGAAAGGGGGTCCAGCGTCGCTGAATCATTTGATTGAATGTTTAAGCCGACTAGCGGCTGTAAAGACTGTTAGCTGCAGGGCCGAGCTACGAAAAACAGATTATGACGAGTAGCAATACCCTGCAGCCTATGTTGATAGCCTACATGATAACACAGGTAAATGATGGCATACACCAGTCCCGTGACCGCTTCTAAAAGGACTCTGCTTCTCCTCTTTTTCCAAGCTCGAAACCCCTTTTTGAATCCATTCTTGTAGCCTGGTGCTATCACCTCTGATTGACCCCCAGTTCATGTAGGCGTACCGCCCTCCCGTTCCCCTACCCGCACCCTTTGGAACTTGGACCCGCACCCTTTGGAACTTGGAACAGTGAGGTGTGTTTTGTGCTAACGTTTGTGACTGTAATTAATTCCCTACATGACAGCATTTGGCTAGTGGTATACACCACTGTAACCCCACTCCACTCCCTCTTGTGACTGTAATTAATTCCCTACATGACAGCAGGACCTGAGCAGCCACTTCCACGGGTCCTGACGCTCCCACATTGCTAGGGGTTACAGGGCGGCACAACTCAGGCCAGCGAGCTACCAGTGTTGGCTGGCCCTGGCCATCCTGCTTAGGCCACTGAAAGTGAGGGCAACGGGACTGGAACGCACTACCTATGTGGTGCTGCTCAGGCATGAACCCTACAAGTCAGCTAGCGGTCGGAGGATAGCAGGGTATGCTACTAGTTAGGCTAGGTAGCTGTGCGCAAGTTTAAAATGGACAACAAAGTGGCAGTTGCCAGCCAACGCCAAGCTGAGTAATGCTCTCACCAATCCGGGTCGAGTTGTGAGGTCCCGGGCATCAAGGTTCAATTTTGCAAAAAATAAATATGATGGATTTTTTATTGAAAAAAGTACTGGTGGTCTAAGATCTACCACCATCTTGCCTCGGACATAACCCACACTGAAAATGAAGCAAGAAAATATCAGGAGCTGTCGAAGAGGCGGTGGGAACAGTTGGAGGTGCAAGGGAGCACATTGAGGATGACTTTCACATCTGAAGGAACTCTTCTTCCGCTTGCAGTTCTGTCTTTGAAATTCGAGGGATCATCAAAGGCCGGCCGTTTCCATGGAAGGAGGGGGGAGGGGGCGAAAGACGAACAAACACATTAGTGAACAAACGTTGACGTATACAACAAAGCCAGATAGAAAGCGAGCGATCGAGCAACACAGCAAACAAGATAAACTGTCTAGGTGATGAGGACATCAAAAGATCAATGCGATGCATAAAACGACAGGTGGACGGATGCGGACTCTGCGTGTGTGCGTCTATGTATGTGTGTGTGTGTGTGTGTGTGTGTGTGTGTGTGTGTGTGTGTGTGTGTGTGTGTGTGTGTGTGTGTGTGTGTGTGTGTGTGTGTG